GTAGCATCCAACTTCTTTCGGCTGCCCTTAGTAATAACAGGTTTTTCTGGCAGCTATTGGAAGCCTGATTTTCGAAGATGTATACCTCTTTCGGATGCTTTTTCCTTGGACTATCAGGCCGCCTTCATCCAGGCTGGATCGCACAACTCTACCCGATTATTTTCATGTAGTGCTGTAGAAAAATTGAGACTTTAAGGCAAAGCAAGTCTCTCTCAACTTTGTGCTGATCATATTCACTATGCTACTGATTTCGTCATTAGTAGCTAGATGTGAATTGATGATTGTGGAGGTATGCCATTTCCGAATGATATATATTTTTTGAACTTAAACTAATGGAAGAGCACAGTGGCTATATGGTAAGAATGGGTATAAGCGTCATTTTTAGTACGAATCGAACCAGAGAGAAGAAGAATGAAAGAGAAATAAGAAGAAAGTGATGACGCATTATTTCTCGATCCTTCTCTCCGCAGACCTACATAGGAGTTGAAACCATTACAAATTTAATGATGAAGCTGGCGTACAATCGAGCACCAGTGTCAGAATCCAAATTTCATCGAGGAATAACAGTCGTAGGTCGAACTCTTGGGAATGCATACGTACTCTGTAGACAACACAAATACGGGCAGTGAGCCCACCCTCACTTCTCGCGTTTGTTTAGCTGTCTGGTTCCGGAAGCTGATTAACCCTGGCTCTACCGTTGCTATCGTCTCAATGGTATTCAGCCGTAGACACTGGTTTCACCAGGCAGGAAACACACAATTAGACGTCTTGAATCTCCTCTATCTCTATCTGGGCACGACTCGCAATCTCCAATTAGTCACTCTTCAGAGAACTGGCACATGCCTGAATGGTAATAGACTTTCCCATGCAGTCCGAATTCAAGTGGGCGGCTTCGTAATGTACACATCTAGCACCCCACCCGCCCTATCTTATGAGTGTTGGTCTTGACTAGGAGCACAACGTTCGTCCAAATAGTTGAAATGATCTGGAAAAGAGCTGGAATAATGGTTGTTGAGTGGGTAGTTTACTGGAATATGCAATTTGTTTCCGTCTCCCCACTTGTATTTCGTCTGCGGTTGGTACATTAACCTGATGGAAGGGAAACAGTGTAGACAGAGAACGAGAGAGAGAGAGCGAGAAATAATGAGAGAGCGAGAGAGAAACGAGAGTTAGGGAAATTCTGTACAGTTGATGGC